TCTATCTATCTATCTATCTATCTATCTATCTATCTATCTATCTATCTATCTATCTATCTATCTATCTATCTATCTTGTGGATGAGGTCCAGTTAAAATTTTGAGTCCTAAATTTAAGTTTTTGCTACTTGATCACACAGAAAGCAATGAACACCTCTAACATGTATGTACTGTGCTTTCTAAATAGAAGTTCATATGGAGAGGAACGGGATCTACAAGAGACATTGAGGTTGTGTCAGGTGATCCAGGAGACACTTCTTTTGCATAACTTATCACTGGCTAAAGGTGGGCAATCAGTAAAGGCAACAGACTTGACCTTTGCCATTTCCTTAAGTTGCTTTTGTTGAGTATTTTAACTTAGCAACAGAAAAGTTACTAATACACTACGTTTCCTATGACTCCCCAACCCCACACACCCCAGAGTCAGTTCTAATCTGATTCAGGTGCTGGATCCAATTACCAATTTATAGAAATATACTAGAAAGGAAACATGTTAAATGATACCACAGAGGCACAATCCAATCAGAAAAATCAAGGTTATGGGGAATTTTACCAAAATGAGAGGCACAGATATTCATGTCCAGAAGCTTCAAGAGTCAGAGTGTAACAAATAAGAAAAGTGAACAAATGAACTCCCTGGTCAAGTCCTTCAGGCTACTGGGCAGAACTCAGCATAGTGGTAAGCTTAGACTAGACTGTTTGTTTCCAGCTCTTCCTGGCAATGTGTTGTGGGACTTATTATTTTAAAAATAGGTCAATGATTTTGTGAATTCAAAAAATGGCTCCCAAGGAAGACTCCAGCTGAAAAAGTAATGGCTTTGGTCTAATTTTAGTTCCAGAAAAAGGATTCAGACACCAACTTTGGTCCCCACAGTGTCCTAGAAAGCTGATACTTATCAGTGGCTCCTGATGTTCATAATACTACTTGAATTCCACTTATGGGAAAAAAAAAAAACAAACAACAACCTACTTGGGCCAGGGGAATGGTCACTCTCACCTGCCTCAATCACGTCTGTATCAAATCCAAGTAAACGTCCCTTTCCCTAAAATTCCATAGGAATGTAAAAATTTGTTTTGAAAAATGTTCTCAGGGATCTTAACATATTGTACCTTGGACCCTCCATGAGGATGGTGCAGTTTGATTTGACCATGGACCATATTTTTTCAAGAGCAATGGGCCTGTGCTGGGCTTATTCTGTCTTGGAAAAGGCTTGCCCGAAGAAGCCACCTTCACTTTTTCACCATTTCAGGGTAATAAAAATGTTATGTGAGGTGGGGAATTCTAGCAAATTCTGAGGCTAGTAAAAGTCCCTTGGGGAAACTGAGGTTCTCATGGATAATGAAATTTAGAGAGAACAAGTTAACAACAGCCATTGAAACTTGTTATTCAAAACACAAAAACTCTACACAAATCATATTAGGAGGTGCTCAAAATCTTCTGAGAAAATGCTGAGATCTGACTTTCCTGTTCTCCAGAATTTTCATCTCTCCGGTGAGGGTAGTAATGCCCTCCTCACAGGGTAGTTGTTCAGACCCAAAGTTATGTATACTCAGGTCCTGAGTCATTGTTTTCATTGTGGCAGTGGGAGAGGCTATGGATATTTGTGGGAGCTCCTTAGGGTCAGTGATGATCAGGAAATCTCTGAGTGGTGATCCCACCCTCCCTGTGTAGTTCTGGATTTGTCCCTTGGAATAAAAGATTTCTGTGCTTAAATACTCAGGAAACTGCCTGCTTCTCCTCCTCCTCCCTGGGGCTTATTAAAGGATCAGGGAAGTCCTACAGGGGACAGTATTTAAAATATGTTTACTGTTAGCTTTGATCTTATATATCTTTGCAGTGTTCTCCTTCTTTGTAACTTTCACACCATATCTTTGTTCAGTGCGTTGGGGAAACCCCGTGGTACAGCATTAGCTAATAGCGAGTTCTGTGCATATCCAGCTGTCTTATGCATTAAAGATAATAGGGAAAAACAGGGGAGCAAGGAGCAGCCAAGACTCCCCCTGTCCAGAGAGTAGGCTGAGATTTAATCTTTTAATCCTGCTGCTTTTGTTCTTCCAGCAACCTGCTACTTATTTCTGGGAAGAATCTGTAAGTGATAAATAAGTGCTTTCCCGTATGTAGGTAGGTCCCTGTTAGCATAAGGTAACAAGCCAAAGGGCCAGGAAAGTGAGCTACCATAGGCTTTAAGATCAAACATGGTATTGAATTCTGGTTCCAACTCTACAGCTCAGTGGCTGTGGATGAGAGAGGTGACTTCTCTATGCCCTAGTTTCCTTATTTGTAAAATGAGGACAATGATGCTGTCCATCCACTGGTCTGTTGTGAGGATTAGTTAATCATGCAAAGTTCTTTCCATGGGCTCAGGTTTATTATTGTTATTAGTGAATCACAAGTACTCTTGAGCAAAAGAAAATCAGGACAAGGACAAAGAACTCTGGATGCCAAGTCAATAAAACCTCCTTTTCACATATGAATTCATCTTTTTAAGAAATGCCATGTACCCCATGACAATTCAGGGTGAGAATTTGAAATGTTTATCAAGTTGAATGGTCATGGTGTTGGAGTATGGAGGTTTCTTTTTACCTAGCTTCTTTTTTTTTTTTTTTTAAGTGAAGTCCCAAAGTATCTGATTTATATACAAGAAACAATCTAGAGTTGAGGCCAAAGGAAAAAGAAAAGTCAGTGGCTGAAATCCAATAGCTTTGAAATGAGAGACAAAACAAGATTCAGAATTAGACAAGGACGAAGACATCAGAGAGGCTAAAACAGAGATAGCTATGCAAATCAAAGTTTATTATTTCCGGAACTTAAATGAAAAGCAATAGAATCAAATCCTAAGTCTGAGAGATCTTTGCCTGTACCCAGACTAAGGTGTTAGATCTGCCTGTGCACACGAAGTGGGTGTGTATAATGTGTAAACCTTACTGTAAGTATTTCTTTCTTTCTTTTTTTTTTTTTTTTTGTAAGTATTTCTTAAAGGAGGTTTTTCTGATCAAGGAAGTTGGTCACAGGGACCCAAGTCCAGAGTTAGATTGTTCCGCCAGCCTTGAAGAACTTTGCACACCAGATAGTGTCTTGCTCTTTGTAAACACTAATATGATTCAGTGAATAAGGGAAGGGCGAGGCAAGGAAAGCAAAACTTAGAAGCCAAGCCAGGTCAGTGGGGCTTGGAGACCAAGAGTCAGAGAGCTGTGGTTTCTTCTGCAAGTACAGTAACTATGATGTGGTAAAGGTGGCTTTCAGTTCTGGTGGTCTTAGAGACCACTGATTGTGTACGTAGTGGCCACCAAGCTCTTATTTTGCTCTTTACTTTTCTTTTTAAAAAATATTTTATTTATTACACTTTTTTCACTTTGTATCCCAGCTGTAGCCCCCTCCTTCATTCCCTTCCAACCCCACTATCTCTCCCTCTTCTTCTCCCTTGCCCCTCCCCCAGTCCACTGATAGGGTAGGTCCTCCTCCCTTCCATCTGACCCTAGCTTATCAGGTTTCGTCAGGACTGGCTGCGTCATCTTCCTCTGTGGCCTGGTAAGGCTGTACCCATTAGGGGGAGGTGATCAAAGGGTCAGCCACTGAGTTCATGTCAGAGGCATCCCCTGCTCCCTTTACTAGGGAACTCACTTGGAGACTGAGCTGCCATGGGCTACATCTGAGCTGGAGGTCTAGGTTCTTATTCTCACAACAAAGCTATATGCACCGGTTAGCCTTTCTGCCAACAAGTGGAGAGTAAAGACCAAACTTATGATGACTGTCACATAGGAATCATTTTGAGAATGGCTCATCAGGAACTGTGGAGGAGACAAGCTAAGGCAGAATACACTGTTTCACCTTGAGAAATGACATAGACCACAGAACAACAGCTCATGCGACCCTTGGAGGAATGAAACACTTGCTTTCTTTCTCCTAAATCCCCTGACTCATTTAATTTCTTTTTAGCCAAAAGCTGGTGGAATATAAAGTGACAGATTTTTTTTCCAATAATAGAGAAAGACCAGAAATCAAACCCCATAAGGAGAATTGTAATTGAAAACCAGAATATCACATCCAATTAGCCAATGCAAACTGTTTATGAAAATCATTGATATTAATAGCAACTATTTACCAGTCTCTTCCCGCGTGTTATCCATGCTAAATAATTCAGGTCTATACCATTTAGTCCTAAGAATTACTCTAAAGGATAGATATTATTTTTTACTGTTTTTTTTTTCTGATAAAGGAACCAAATTATGACAGAGTGATAACTTCAGGAAAATGAGAAAGCTTATACACGATATAGTTCTGTCAAAACCTAGAGTCAGAGCTGGTCACCAACAAACTGTGTTTCCTCTCCCATCCAGCTGTGTTGATGTTAAATGTGAAGAATTAACAGAGGTGTCAAGGATGGCTCCCTGACCCAGGAGAGTATTAGCGCCATCAATAAGGTAGGAACACAAAAGGGAAAAACGGGAATAAGGGACAGCTCAGTTGGTTAAGTGCTTGTTGTAAAAGCATGAAAACTTGAGTTCAATCACGAGAGCCCACTTAAAAGAAAAAAAAAGAAAAGCTCACAATGGTATGTGCTTATAATCCCAGTGCTAGAGGGGTGGAATAGGTGGGTCCCTGGAGCTTGCTGGCCAGCCAGCATAGCCCACACAGTAAGTTCCATATCCATGAGAGACCCTGTTTCAATAAACAGGAGGATGGCTTCTGAGGACACCCCTGATGCTGAATGAAGATATTCGTGCACGTATGTATCCATATTGGAGCACTACACACATACACACACACGGAAAATAACTACTATCACAACTGTAACTGTGCATTTGTAGGACATGGTAGGTTCTCCAGGTGGACAAAGTCATCATTCAACCCTTCAGCAGGTTACAGACTATTTAAGCCTTAGTTTTCTTATCTGTGAAATGAGAGCTACCCAGCGGGTTGCTGGGAGTACTGAGTTTCTAAAGAGGCACCTGCTACCTCACCCTCTCTTCCTGCCAGTGTAGATTCTGCTTTCTGAGAGATGACCTTGCTTCTTGTCTCTGACCTCAACATGGAAGATTAATATAGAAAGCACTTACCTGCTGTGAGAAGCCCTTCACAACACGCCTTTGTTTGAGGTTGGTCTCCCCATCCAAGTTGGCAGTTTCCAGGTGGCAGACCCCACTGGGGTCTGAGGAGAAGAGGAGGAGGATGTCGGCTGGGACGATCTCATTGCACCGCATCTGGACAAAGTCTCCCACACGCACATCCTGCCAGCGCTTCTGCATGTAGCTTTGCTCTTTTCTGGGGTGCAAGGAAGACAGTTCTCAGAGATTTAGGAGTCTGCAGTGCTCACATCCCCTTGGGAGCTCCATAAGAAGACCAATGAAACCATCAAATCTAGGCCCCAGGGGTCTTGCAGAGACTGATGCACTAACAAGGACCATGCATGGAGAGGACCTAGACACCCTGCTCTGATGTAGCCCATAGGCAGCTCAGTCTCCAAGTAGGTTTCCTAGGAAGGGGTTATCTCTGACATGGTCTATGTTACCTGCTCTTTGATCATTTCCCTCCTGATGGGGCAGCCTTGCCAGGACACAGAGGAAGATGATCCAGGCAATGCTGATTGATGAGAAGTGATAGGCTAGGGTCAGATAGTAGGGGAGGAGGGCTCCCCCTTTCTGTGGTCTAAGGGAGGGAGTAGAAAGAAAGAAGGAGAGTGGGACCAGGAGGAGATGAGGGAGGGAGCTACAATCAAGATATGAAATGAATAAATTATAAAAAATAAAGATAAAAGACATACACACATATACCCATAAATAAATAATAATAATAAGAAAGGCAAGGGTCCTCAGTATACTGGTATGCTTTAGATGTCAACTTGCTGCAATCTAAAAATCACCAGGGAAGGGTCTCCATTGAGGAGCTAACTAGATCAGGTTGGCCTGTGGGCATCTCTAGGAGAGTGTCTTGATTATTGGCTGGCTCAGGCCACTGTGGGTGGTGTTCTTCACTGGGTGGGGTCCTGAGCGGTAGAAGAGTGGAGGGTACTGAGTATAAACTAGAGAGCTAGTGAGCAAGCATGTCTCTAGGCATCCATTTTCTCTCTGCTTTTGGTTGTAGATGTGACACTTGAAGTTCTTACCTTGTTGTCCCCGCAATAATGGCCTGAATCTTGGAATTGTAAGCCAAATAAACTTCTTCTTCCCATAAGCTGCTTTTTGTCGTGCTTTATAAAAATCTCACTAGTAAAAGATCTGTTCCTGAGCCTATTTAGATTTTTAAATAATCGTGGATTGTTGACCAGATGTTGTGCTAAGCCCTTCCTTCGTGGCAGGAAGAGTACTATAAGGAGATGTTGGCTGTGACATTATACTGCATGGCTAGTTATCACGGAAGAAAGCAAAGGTACAAAGAGCAGAGAGAGAGAGAGAAGGCTGTTCTCAATTACCGGGAACAGTAAAAGTAAGGAGATTGGTTATTAAGAATGTCTGGGACACTGATAAACTGGAAAACTCTAGACACGTTGACAGCATTACTAAGCAGGGACTTTGACAGCATGGGACATACTATAACTAAGAAATCAGACTGAGGAACTGGAAGGAAATGATACACTTACCCCCCTGCAATTTATCAAACTTAGATAAAAGCAACTGTGCCAATTTCACATTTACAATACACTAAGTATTAGTGTTAACATTCTGTTCACTTATATGACAATTCATTGGTGTGGACACTATATGAATTTCACAAATAAAGAAACTGAGAACTAATTTTTTTTTCTCACAAGTCTTATAAAACCAGAGTTGAAACCTGATCTTATATTTAGCTTGATGTCAAAGCTCACAGCTTTTACTGCTAGCCCCTCCCAGCTGGTATAACAGCGTGAGCTCTTTCCTTCCCTCCTTCCCAAAAGGACATTGCATTTACACAGAACTCTCATATCAGGAAGTCTTTGTTCCACCAGGCCAACTATTAAACAAAATTTGCTGTCGTAAAATAAGCTTCTCCAGAAGCTCTTATTTTCTTTTTTTAAGTTATTTTTATTTTTATTTTTATTAATTACAGTTTATTCACTTTGTATCCCTCCTGTTCCTCCCTCCTTTCTCCTCTCCCAATCTCACCCTCCCTCTTCCCCACTCATGTTCCTCTCCCAGTCCACTGAAAAGGGAGGTCCTTCTCCCCTTCCCTCTGACCCTAGTCTATCAGGTCTCATCAGGAGTGGCTGCATTGTCTTCTTCTGTGGCCTGGTAAGGCTGCTCCCCACTCACAGGGAGGTGATCAAAGAACAGGCCAATCAGTTCATGTCAGACACAGTCCCTATCCCCATTACTATGGAGGCTACTTGGATACTGAACTGCCATAGGTTACTTCTGTGCAGGGGTTCCAGGCCATCTATATAAGTGGTCCTTGGCTGGAATATAAGTTTCAGAGAAAAATTCCTGTGCCCAGAATTTTAGGATCTGTTGCTATCCTTGTGGAGCTCCTGTTCTCTCCAGGTCTTACTATCTCTACTTCTTTCATGAGGTTCCCTGTACTCTGCCCAAAGTTTGGCTTTGAGTCTCAACATCTGCCTTGATACCCTGCAGGGTAGAGCCTTTCATAGGCCCTCTGTGGTAGGCTCCTGTCTTGTTCCCTGTTTTCTCCCTCCTTTGATGTCCATCCTCTTTGCCCTTCTGAATGGGGATTGAGCATCTTAGCCAGAGTCCTCCTATCTTTAAAAAAATTCGAAAGTATCCCTCAGGGTATTATAAAGTCTTTTGGCCATGCCAAACCAAATCTAATGTCCTAGATATCCTTAATTATTCCTTGGATCACAATGTTTTAAGAACTATACTGGAGGTGAGGGCTCTTCTATGACTGCATTTCTTATGTTCCTCTTGTGGGATTTGAATCCAGACCAATATTTCTCATGTGTTCTTTTTATCTGAGCCCTGCTGGATTAAAGTTCTTTTATCTAAGTGTATCTGGAGAGACAGCTTATTTCTGTGCCATTTCCTCCAGAAATGGCTGAGCCTCCTTAGACATGTTATTTCTGCTGGAATCTGAGCTACCCAGGCATGACAAGTCCGTATCTAAGAGACATGAATCAAAGTACTCAAAGAGGATGAAGGGACTGTTGTCTTCCCATCCTGGAGAATCTCAGCAAAGCCCTCCTAAAAGCCTATTGTCTTGATCATACACAGTCCCTGCATAAGACTCTCCCAGCCCTTGAAATCAAGTTTCTTTCATCTAGAAGGCTGGAGGAAGAGCTCTTCAGTGTATAAAGTCATTGGAGACATTAGGATTGGTGAGTAGCCTCACACCTTAAAGCTACCATGAGGTCTGTGGAAATGCTCCCTGACCCTAAGAATGCAGTCTAGCATTCTCTACTCCATGGCAACAATATCCACATGGCTACCTGTGGAGTGCTTGTACCTGTGAAGTGCTCAGGTACAAGGCTCTTTAAAGGCAGTGGCATGGACTAAACTATCAGTGCCAAACAAACCTTCATAGAATGAAGGAGAGACTGGTTTTCTACTGCTGCTTCTTTTCTTTTCATTTTGAGAGAAAGCATAAAGAGGATTCTTAAATATTACAGTAAACTTGCCCAAAGGGACAAAGCATCTATCTGCGTTTATTTGCATCTTCCTTTATGTCTTCTTGGCCTTTGACTTCTGGACCTTGTGGGATGAAGCCTTTGGGACTGTGGGGGATCCATTGATTGTTCCAACCTCAGCATCCCACCTGCTGTGCGAGATCAGGTTTAGGGGGAACACGCCTGAATCTCAGCCCCATCTGTCTGGCCATCATTTTCAGAGCTTTTCAATTCTGAAAGTTGAGTCAAATATGGTAGGTGGGGTTGCTACGTTCAGAGACAAGTTAAGGCCAAATCACCCGTAATCAGCGAAAACAACCTGCTCTCCCCAAACTTCATGATAAAGTTCTCCACTGCTTAGCATGGATATAAGAAGGAACAACAAAGGACAGAAAGGACTAGAGGCTAATTTTGGATGTGCACATATTTATGAATATATGTCTGAACTGGGCTGGAATGCTCCCTTTTCGATCTTCACCATGATCCAGGTATCACCAGACGGTGCTCTGTCTTCCCTATGATACTCCTTGGATCACAGTGAGGCCTCCACCATCCTGGACAGTTGTTTCTATGGATGAGTTCTTCTCTCAGACAGAACAGCATAGGAAATGGACATTCACAGCTATTGCTGGAGGTTTGGTTCTTCACTTCTGTAAAGCAGGCTTGTCACTACGCTGCCGACCTCATCTTTCTTTTCTTGTGATTTTCATGCTTATAATTATATTCTGTGGCTTGGGATCAGGCAACAACAACCTGTTTTTTTGTTTTTTATTTTTAAATCCCAACACCATTAAACCTTCCCCCAAGTCTAGAAAAGAGGGATCTCAGTACATTGATGCTCAGGCTCTGGAGTGTGGTTCCTGAAACAAGCCTCCAGAAACACTGTATTTCTCCAGCAGGCCCTGTACTTTTTCAGGAGTCCCTCTAGGGAGAGGATGACTGGAGTGCAGGAGCTACAGCTATTCATTAAAAGGTATTTGGGAGCATGGCAATTTAACATGGGTACATATGACATTCCTTATTGGGTACATCCTTTGAAAACTCTTATTTGTAGTAGTGTTATTTTATCGAATGCTATGTTACAGCAGCCTAATCCAGCTATATTGTAGGATGATAGGCATATTTTACTGGACCTTTAGGGACAATTCCATTTCACACTTGAATACTTTGCTCTGGTTGTCCAGTGCTCTAGGGTACGCTTCATCACCATCTGTCAGCAGCATGTCTGCGGAGCAGCCAGGGATGCATAGCCCAAGGGTGTTCAGCCAAGGGAGGTGAGAAGTGGCAGAATTGAGCTGAAGTGTAAATGTGGCATGCTTCTACACTGAGTGACAGTCATATGTGACCAGCAGCTGGCCAGGAGCCGCCAGCCGGAGTCTTCCCTCATTAATATGGCCCGCTTGGAACAGCTGCCCCAGGTGGATGCATGCACAGGCTCTTGCCTGTTTCCCTGCTCAGTGAGTTTGCACCTGGGAACTCTTTGCTATTTTAGTTTCCTGCAATGTTAACTGCTGTTTAAAAATAAGATAAATTCATGTGGCTTAGGCCAAAGACTCCATCTGGCAGATTCTACCGGGAGGAGAAATTATGTAGTACAGCATTAAACAGCTTTCTGGAAGAAGATGGGCCTTTAAAAAAACAAGGTAAATAAACAGCAAGACAGGTTTTTAACCAACTGCATGCCATCTGGAAACAGGTGAGAGGGAGAGATGAAGGAGAGGATGCT